GCCCCCCCCCCCCCCCCCCAAATTCGCCGAGAAGCTGGCTTGAAAATTATTTCTCCCGTGGTAGATTTTGTTCAAAAATAAATAAATGATGTCCCTTGGGGTTGGCGTTTACACGGGAAATCCCCCCGGGGTTTGCTTTTGCAACCAATTTTTCGCGACTTTGTAGGCATCACAACGCATCAGACCTGACTCGCGAGCGTTTACCGTTGCTGGGATGGAACACGTCATCCGCGTTCGGCCCTAAGAGTGATTATGGTGGATCAAAGGCAATGAGCAACAAGTGGACATGGTTCATCGTTGTGTGTGTGCGTTTGTGTGTGTACCATATATTTTTTGCTTCCCCCCCCTGTTAGAGCTGTGAATCAGAAATGATATTCTCGATACTCGGACGATATATATCGTATCGAACATCGCATCATCGTGCCGATATGCGGACCGATTTTTTTGTTTTTGGGGGGGGGGTTCCGTTAGAAATGGGATATGTCCGTACAACAATACCGCACGGAGCCCCGTCTGTGTTCACTATTCTACTAGCCGTGGCGGAGGTAACGCTACATGTTGCCAAAGATATATGATCCAAATGGAACAAGGGTCACGCACACTCAACAACAGAAGAAGCTACCATCCACCGCAATTTTCAAGCCGTTCATGTGTATGGAAGTTTTCCTTCTGTTCAGTGCTGAGTTGAGTAACGAACACCACCATTTGGTTTGGTATGTCGTATTCATCCGACTTTGCGTTGGGTGTTCGAGGACACGGGTAAAGTCTAGCTCGACGACTACGATTCACACCTTATTCACGAAATCATACACACACCAACTTCGATCGTTTTGACTTGTTCTAACAACGTTATGATATAGTAGCAGGTATGCACAGTGAACTTCCCACTGCTCTCAACCCCGACTTGCTCAACCCCGACTTGTGCACACCCCTTACGCCTCGGGGTCTTCGAGTGTAACAATCGACTGCAAGGGAGCTTTCGGAGGGGATGTAGCTTCGGCAAAGGTGGGGAGATCTAGAGCTCTCTAATAGCTCGTCGTCACCTCCAGTTGCTTGCGGAGGGAAGAGCCCAACAGCTTGCTTCACATATGGTGCACTTCTCGCTCACGTCAGCAGGATGCGTTCGAGGAAACTGATTCGCTGCTCGTTCAGTCCCGCGATATCCTGAGCAAACTGCGTGGTTCTGATCCCAATCACCCGGAAAAGGCGGAGGAGCTCAACCAGTGGGGGTCGCTGCTGGAAGCGAAGGTGAGAGCCACGACACTGGATGATAAACAATCCACTACAAGTAGTGAACTATGTGTAGAAGCTCTAGAGCTCTATGCGGCGTGTACATGCTACAGCAGTGTTTTAGAGTATCATACAGGCATAGACTGCCGTAAGCTACGACCCCCTCGGTATCAGCCACCACTGGGTTTTCGAGGGTTTCGGGGTTGGTTGTGCTACTGTCACCCGAGCCTACGCGGTATACCACACCCCCTCAATGAAACTGCAGTGCAGCAGGTGAATGTGTTAATCCATCCCCTCGCCGACCCTCTGCTGGCATGCATGCACAGTAACGTGTGGAGAATACAAACGTACTGGAGTTAAAATCCTAGGGGAGTGTGTCCACTTGCCTACCCGCACAGACCACCGGGTCTCGCCCCCGAGTTCCAGCGATGCCCCCTTCGCTGTTATCACCCACCCCCCATATAGGCCGGCTGGTCAGCCCGCTTGTCACCCAGGCCTACGCGGTAAACACACGTTTGGGTTTTCGAAAGCGAAAAGCGCTTTTTCACCCGGGGTGGTATCACGTATGTAGCCTACCGTGCGGTTGGTTTTCATGCAGAAACGACTGACCTGTCGTTCAGGGATACTATCGACGTACACCATGAGTGAATGTTTTGAACGTTTCGGACTGCGATCTTCTCGCAAACGTCACTGCTTGAGAGACCGCAAGATTTTGTCGTTAGGCGGATGTCGTGGAGATGTGCCACTTGACAGCCTGCGTTGCAGAAGTCAGTCAACGTTGCGATGCGTTCTCTCCTGGTTGCTTTCACAACACGGGCAAAACGCAGCCAAACGCCGAAAAGTGAGTCCAGGCCTGACCCTCCAGACCTATTTGACTCAGCCAAGGAAAGCGGGGCGCCCCGGTGTACACTGTTCTTTCCAAGTTTGTCGGTCCAACCGTGCGACCATGAGCCGGTTTGATCCCGACCTTGTTTCGCATCCAGGGCGACTATTCTGGAGCCGAAACGCTCTACAGGCAAGCCTTGGCCATACGGACAATGATGTTTACGCCTGATCATCCGGCGGTGGCGAGAGTGAGCAACAACTTGGCGAACGCATTGTGCTCTCAGGTGGGGAGCGATTAAACGAAAACACCTGTCTATTTTGTCTGAGCGGGTGTGTCGTGTCGCTTAACCCGCAAGCCGCGGGTGGTTGCTGCGCGGCAGCTGACAGTAGTGAATTGTTAGATTGTAGTCGTCGAATAACTAATTGCAGGTGGCCGAGAGGATTGCACCGATCGATTCGCGCCTTGCTGGCAAAACTGACGTATGCAGAGAAAATTCCCGGAGGCCGAGTCGCTGTACAAAAGCTCCTTGGCAACACGCAAGAAGATCCTGGGCCCTGAACACGAGGCCGTGGCCATCGCGCTCAACAACTACGCTAGAATGCTGATGGGTGTGGTGAGCCTTTCTATCGTACCGTAGTCTAACCCCCAAGGTAGGGTTTGGCGCTTTCTCATCGCCGCTTTCTTCCGCGTTTGAAGAGGCCCGACTCATTCGATAGCTCACACTCCACTCACTTGTTCATTGTGGTTGCTCTCACAGAGAACGCGGTTGTGACGATAGACTGAGAGAGTGCGACAACTTTGCCTCGTGCGCTCGGTGTCCTGGAGCTGTACAAGCTGGTTCACGGAATACCCCCAATGTTATTCCACAGCGATTTCTCACGCCGTTTGGAGGAGTTAACCCTTGTAAGTTGTATGTTTGGCAGACAACATTCACATCAATCATCATCCGTTTTTGTTTTTTTCGCATTTTTGTTGATTTTTCTGGGGCCCTCTCTTTGTTTATTTTCGGATACATATAGTGGCACCTTCTTTTGGGTAGTTAGCGGAAGGCGTCCGCACCGGTCGGACCAGTACGGATTGATAGAAGAGGTGAGAGAGACCGGAACGGTATTTAATGTGATGAAAAATAACAGCCAATACATTTTTGCCCCTGTATTTTCCCCTACTGAACGTGAGTATAGTTTGTTTGGTACATATATGTCGACAAAAAACAGGGATGTGATCTTGCGTCACCCCCGGGAGGCACGTGACCAACCTCCCGAAGGGGAACCTTGTGTATCTTTACAGCTAATGCGCCACTACCATAACACCTTGAACACAGGTTCTATCGTTTTCAGCCCGTTTTCGACGCTGTATTATTTAGTGGCGTTTCGCATGCAACTAACAACTTTGCCTCTCTGGTTTTGCTCAATACAGAAGCGATACGACGAAGCATTAGAGCTGCTCGATGATTCCATCGCCAGCCGGTTAAACACGAAAGGTGACGAACACCCCGCCATGGTCAACGTGCTCACCACCAAATCCGAAATTTTTCGACTGCAGGTAAGAGCCACCTTCGATTTTGAGTGGAACGCGCCGTGTGAAGGATGAAGGGCCGACGACGTTTGGTACTTTTGTTGGACAGCCTGATGAGATCCGCCAATAGATAATTGCTCGACCGGTGCATCTCATGCTCTCCCCACGCAGACGTGTGTATGAAGCCTGTCACCAGTCCCCTCCATATCGCCCCAACGGCCCGCAATACGCAGAAGAGGGACGACGACGCTCTCCCGTGGGCTATGCGTGCTCTGGAACTCGCAAAGAAGACGGTGCCAGACTCCAAGCTCACAGCGGTAACGCACAATAACGTCGCGCTGGTATTTCGAGCGAAGGTGAGCACCTGGGCAACTTAATTGAACCCCGGGCGGAATGGTTTTGTAGGAACAATCGGTAAGTTGTATACACATCCCGCAACCTACAACCGACCGATTTCAGAAGGAATTCATACGGTACTACTCTACCGTACTCGCTGAGGAAGACGAAAACGACAGTGCTGGCCCGCACAATTGACGGTAGTAGGGCTGTACCTCGTACAGTAGCTGACTTGAACAGACCTGCTGGCCCAAGCAGCAGTACTATTTCCATCCGGCACCTTGCGGTCGTCTCCGCAGAATATGCATCAGGAGGCGGCCGAGCACTACCGCGTGGCAATCACTATCGGCGAGAAGTCCCCGGAGCTACGAGAACACCCGGATCTGGCAGTGTGGTACTTCAACCTGGCGCGTATGTTGGGTATGCAGGTGCGGAGACGAGTCATCGTACGGACGGTAGGGGGGGGTACCGACTGAGCCACGTTTTGGCACGAAATGAGCCGCGGTTTTCAAGCTGCTAACCCCTGATTTATCCGCACAAATTGAGATATAAAAAATCGAATTTGGCGATTGTTCCTCTCTTGGGAGAAGGTATGCATTCCTCAAGAGGAAAATGGGTAGCGAGGTGTGCACAGCAGCCGCTTTCGAAGTGTCTCCCGTGCAAGCAATAGTGCCCCCCTACCGTACGATGCCTCAGCCCATCACATCGTCTGTGTGTCGTGCCAGCAAGAACCGTCTGAATCTGGCGCTGATCAGTGCTCGAGAATCGCGAATTGCTGTCATCCTAACAACGGTCGCATAGAGCTATGTGAGATGGTGGCAGCATGGTTTTGCGTAGTGGTTCTGCTGTCGGTCCAGGGGCATGGCTGAGCGAGCTCCGCCGCTGTTCATGCGCACCTTGTTGGGGTATTCTGCGCAGGCCAATTACCGGGATGCGCAGCCCTTTTACGAGAATGCTCTGGCTATCCAAGAGAGGTCTCTTGGGCGTGACCACCCCGGTACGATCAGGACGCGAGGCTGGACGGCGGACACTTACGAGAAGCTGCGACTGCTAGACAAGGCAGAACCCCTGTGGCGTGAAGTATTCGAGTCAAAGCAGCGCGTGTGTGGAGAGCATCACAAGGACGTGGCTTGGGCGCTCAAGTGTTGGGCGAACGTGTTGGTAAAGCAGGTAAGAGCAACGTGTAGGAAAAGCCGTGTTATGGGAGCTCTGGCGAGAGGGGGGTTCTGATGGATTATCTTGGGCGATTTGTAGCGCATGTTCGGTGAAACCACGGCGAAATTTGTCCACATACCGTAATATCCTCCTTTATACCCTCGGAGGGGATGCAAATCTTTTTCGTAAAATGATCGCCCCGGGGTCAATATGTACAGAGGTAGGGGGGGGATCTTTTATTTAAAAAAAAAAACACCCCGGGGCGAAAAGCCCCCGGGCGATTTGCCACTAAACGCACACACACACACAGCACAAACACCATGTCGGGTCTAAACAGCATCTACGGCTGAATGCATTTGCGAGTGAGCCCTTCCTCCACGCACAACGGCTCGGACATGTCCAATACTCATCTACATAGCCTCCAACGACAACATTTGTCTGTATTCCCCCCGGGGCGAACGTCTTTTCCCCCCAAGAAAAGTACCCCCCGGGGGTATCTCTGAGGTAGGGAGGGGATTTTTTATTTATTTTTATTTATCGATTACCCGGGGGTATAACAGCGTTTTTTGCGCCCATTTCCCCAATTTTGGGGTAGACTCAGGGAGGGGGTATAAAGGAGGATATTACGGTAGTACTGTAGTGGCGTCGGCAGATGGCCCTCCTCGTTCTTGAACCCGTTGTCCATTTCCGTCGATAGTCTAATTGCGCAAAGGTTGGCTCCATGCATGTGGTTTTGCGTTTTTGATTTTTGCTGTTGACCACACCTTACCTTACGCTTGCATAGGGGGAGCACCACAAGAGCCTACCGCTTTTGCAGAGAGCCGTGGAAATCTGGCGTGACTTACTCGGGGAGAATGACAAACTCACCGCCGACACGGCGAGTTTGCTGGAGCACGTGCGACGACAAAATACAGCAGGTTTGTGCGTGTGGAACACCAACTAAACTGGGGACCAGCAATACAGCAAGAAGAGCGGTTTCACGTGGCGGGTTGACCACACCTTTATTCAGTGACACAAAGCAAGATTACCCGAGCTTTGTCGCCAAAGGCTGCAGTACAAGTACACTAGCTCTTGTTGCGTAGACTCGATCGTGCCGTAGACTTAAGACGTGGTACGGTGCACCTCTGTTTCTCTTCGTACGCTATACACCGTACGTTTTTCGTTGCACTCAATCGATCTCGGGGGTTCACGTCGAGGAAAAATGGTGCCTGCACAACTACTTCACACTTGGCACCGCTTCGCAGGTGGTGCAGGAAAGTTGAGGACGGTTCTTCCGAAGGTGGCCAAAAGTGTAAAATTGGGAGCCATCGGCAGCCGCGGCAAGATTTCGTTCTCCTTGCTTTAATTTAGATGTGCCACTCGCGCAAGTGACTGTAAAACAAGCGTTCTTTGGTTGAACGATCAAGTTAGGCGTTGGTTGTGCGCGCGGAACAAGCTTGTTTTGGTCGGAGCTCTGGGTTCGAGGAGTGTTGGGTACCACAGCAGACTATGCGTGCGTTCGTTTAGGGGTCGGGTGAGGCGTGTTTGTGGGGAGAAATAACACGGCATGATGTAATGTACAGTAGTGGATCGTGAGGAATTGACGTGAACGATCAGATGCAGCATGTTTCCGTGTTTGTTGTGCGGAAGCAGCTAGCGCCACGCAGTCGTAGTGGGCGTGATGGTGGAGGACCCCGAAGAAATATTGTACGGTACAGTCTTGATTGACTGCCTAATTGTCGCGTGGGATGTAGAGCAAAGCGGCATGGTGGTCGACAACCGTGGCGAGGCCTCGTGTTAAACAGGAAGAATTGTCACGTGAAAAGAGGTTCCCACTACACAGCCAAGGACACCGAATACCCGAATAGCATCAATCCGTCCACCCACATGGGATACAGCTAATGTGAAGTATCAACAACAATCCCTGCACAAACAGCCCACAGACCTGCACCCAGGGAATCCTTGTTTCCATGCCCCCACCCCCCAAGATCAAGAAGATTTTATTTTCCCACATAGTCTACCCACGTACGTACACGTCGTAACCTTGTTCTTGGGTTCGATTGAAGCTTGCCAAGATTGGGACCAATCCAAGATCAAGATGTGTTTCCCTTGGTTTCCCATAAATGAGAACAAGTAAAAAATGCAATCACGACATCGTTGCATGTTTTTGGCGAGAGTTGTATACTAGCCGATTAGCCGATTGAAACAATGCCCCAACTGAAAGTAAGACCCCTTAATTAAAAGGGGTTTAGAAAAAAGACGGTCGCCGCCGACGTTTCTGTGAATATATAGTTAAGGTGGTCGCGACTTTCTATTCATTTGTCAAGTGGGTTTGCCTAGCAACAATTCTCTACAAATTTGTAGGGCTGGCTGGGTACTGGACCAGTACGCACTGGTAGTACTACTGGTACTGGCTCAGGGAGCCGCCAGTACCGCCAGTAATCTCCACTTACCTATCGTATGTACGTCCACAGTAATACGCAGACCTCCTCTAATATCGCCTCATTATGCAACGGAAACCCACGGCCAAAATCTTTACACGGAAATTGCGTTTGAAAACAGTCAAAATCAACGAATGTTTTTCCTGTAGTGAAGCCAAATCGCGTACATGCGCCTCCGGCGGGCCCCCCTCACCAGTATTTATTCACTGGCGCTGCGCGCCAGTACCCAGTCCTATTTAGTTGTATAAATATGAATCTCAAAGATTTGGAGCCCCACCCCCAAAAAAACGACACTGCACAATCAACATGCGATCGCGGAATACGACGGTCGTTACACAAAACAGTAGACCTTTGGGTCGTTACACAATTACCATCTACACCAGCGTGAAATGGGGAAGAGCTTCCAAGGTCCCCTAAGGTACCCCGCTGGCCGCCGGTGTACTGCTGTCAGTAACCTGTGCACGAATCTTTGTTCGCACACGCTCCAGGTTGTTCTGCGTGTCGACTACGTCTCGGTGGTTTTCCCCCAGCTTCTTCTTGCGGATTGTGAAGGCCCTCTCCAAGAGTGGAATTGCAGCGTTATACGTTCCCTGCATAAATGCGATCCGCGAACGGCACGTATGGACGAGGCTTGGAGGTAAGCACGCGTTCACAAAAACAAGCAGACGGTTGGTGCAAGGAAGTGGTCCAGCAAGATTGAGAGAAGAGCCCACCGACACGTACATGTGGACCTATGCATACGTCCTGAGAAGCTCGGCACGACTCATGATAAGTACTTCGTCGAAGACAGTTCAATAGCCGCTGCCACTTCTGCCTTCTACAAGCTCGCGGAATATACTATAGCTCGCGCTAGGAGCTCGCTCTGGCAGATAATCAGGGCCGGTGGTGGTGTATGTGTGACGAAACCCGACTGTTGTTCCCCTAGTATACCAATATCAATCAAATCGTGACCAAGACACCATTTTGTTCGTCCCCTGGTGGGCAACCGATAATACACGACGTAAACATCAATCCATTGACCTACTGCTCGGTCACAACTGGTGCGAGGGTAGCGAACAATTCTATTCCCTTGGTTCTATGTTCTCTCTCCTTTTCGTCTATGGTATTTGGTTTTGTCCTTCTCCTTTATTACTATTTCGTTTCCTATCTGACAATTGCAGATTCCTTAAAAAATACACACATACATATTCTACACGCTTGATCCGTACTTGTACCGACACATACATAAATAAATGTAACCTGACATATAACAGCATTCTTAGAAGAATTTGCCGACAACACATTAAATGTTCCAACTAATGCTTCATCTTCTGCTATGGATATTTCACCACCATTGTATACATACAGTACAATATTTTGTGTTCACAACCTCATTTTCAAACAAGAAACCAACACAAACGAACAAAGAGACCTTTCTTCTTTTACTTAATTGTATAAAGAATGCTCACAGCAACCTCCACAGGAAACAACACACCGACCCAGCAGGGTAGGCAGTCATGGAAGGTGGCCAGAACGTTGGTGGAACCAACAATGTCGTGGGTGAGGTGGGTGAGAGGTCACCATTGGTTGCCGAGGATCCTTCCGCGGCGTGTGGAGGCGGCAAGGGCGAACACGGCTGTTGTCTTGAACCTATTATGAATCTGTACTTTTGTGGAATTTGAAAGTATGTATTGACCTGCTGTTATGTACTCCGGAGTAAAAGTCTTTGCTGTGTACTTGTTGTGTCCATGAGACAGCACAATACCGTACAAAAGCGTAGTTTGTCAGAGGAGGGCGGGTTATTTCACCGGTTTGGTCTGATCAGGAACTATGTAGTTGACATCGCTAGTGTAGCTCTTGCTTTCGGTCGCCATTGTTTGGCTGCGAACGGCTACCTGTAATAGTACGACTTTCCGTTTTCATGTTCAGTGAACAAACGCCACCACTACACGCAAGAGCGACACACAAAAAACAATATAATCAGACAAAACAAATTACCGTACAGAGTAATACCGGTGGTGGCCGAGCACCATCCAAAAAATACCGTATACTTCGTATACCAATACCGTCGCACCGTAAATGTACCGTGGTTACAAATCAATATCCAAAACATATACTGCCGTGCAATACCGCGGAGGCTGAATACCACGGCGGTAAACGTACCGTGTTGACCGACTACCACCCAAAAAATACTGTGCAATATCGTGGAGGCTGAATACCACGGTATATATCACCAATAATGTTTTGCGAGAGGGGTGACTCTCTTCTTCGCTGATAACAGATTAGCCTCGGAATAGGTCCCGTTTTTTGGCATCGTCAAACGTTAGTAACACGCTTCGCTCGCTACCATGTAGGAACATTTCAGGGGCAAAAATGACGTGTCTCACCTGTTGAAACAACAACACCGCCCGGTTGTTGAGCCATTTCGCAAGAACTGGATGCTCCGGACCCAGTGTCTTCTCCCCAATTTTAATAGCTCGAAGGTAAAGGGGGTCAGCCTCTGAGGGCTTGCCCTGAGCGACACGAGGTGATCGGGAATGAGCGACAGCCACTTGAGATCGATAAAAATGCTAACAAGATCACAAGGCGCATCTAGCCGAACAAATCCTCGGAGTAAATGCCCACCTGGCCCTCCAAATAATTGCCACCCGGTCGTTGAGGTCCGACGTCACTGCACAAACTTGAAAGCTTGCCTCGAACGTGTTGAGCTGAGTGGTCATTGCGCAGATTTGAAAGATAGCCACAAGAACTTGCTACGAATACAATTCGACTCACCAGCCTCCCCAACAGCCACGCCCGAATGGCAAGCGCTGATGCCACGTTCGCGTGCTCAGGACCTAAGGTTCTCTCCAAAATATCCGTGGCCCGTGCATTCAGGGGCACCGCTTCGGCAAAGTGGCCCTGTCGAAAAATTTCGGGGTCATTGATGAGTGTTAGGACATCTCTTCGGCGAAGTCTCCAAAACACAAGAGTTTTGAACGTTGAACAAACAACCAAAGACAACCCGCAACAGTCGCTCAACATCGGTTGTTAAGCGCACGGGCCACGTTGGCGTGTTCGCCTCCGAGGGTCTTTTCGAATGCAGCTTGCGTACAACTCGTCGTTCTTACCCTGGCAAGAAATCTCAGGCCGAGTGATAGTTGAGATCTCAACAGCACACACCGCGCCCTACAAACGCGTGTCGCTGATATCTGAGAACACTCACAAGACAAAAGTTGTTTCCTAGAAAGTTATTCGACTCACACCTGACTCACACGGTTGCTGAGTGAGAGAGTCTCCACAAGGCACACAAAGTTGCATCAAACTTAACGACAGCTACAAGAAGTTTACGAAACCCATCCCACGTGCCACACCACACACATATATCTCTCACTTGTGCCGTGAACAACTCCGCGCGGTTGATGAGCGCTGAAGCATAGTTGGGGTGTTGATCTCCAACGGTGGCACCAAGAATTTCCAGGGCCCGAACGAACAAGGGATCTGCCTCTTCATACTTGGCCTGGAATACGCGATACATACATAGGAGTGTGGTCAAGTCTACAGCAGTCTACATATATATAGAGGTTGCTGTGGAGGAACGAATGCTCAACGACCCTCGCCCTATGAATCATCGGGGCCAAGACAGCTTACCGTAATCATCGGCGTCTTCGCACACTTTGCGGTCGTCAGGTTTTTATCGCACAGGGGTGCGAAGACTCCGATACCTGTGCGGACATTGAATTAAACAATTTGGTTCTACATAATAACGCACACCCTGTGCGATGACTCCGATACGTGCGATTCTGAATAAAACCAAAGCGGCGGTGTGGGGTGTTTCGAACGCACACCCCTGTGCGAAGACTCCAGTGTAGCGACTTCACTTGCACATGAGCACCCTCACGGTGCCAAAGTACAGCAGTGGAGCCCACGATACAGGCTCTCGCAGTACAGGACTCTCCACAGCAGTACAACATGTTGGATATGGTACCACTCGTGATATCGCCCAACCTCACCGAAGGTATCGGCGTCTCCGCACAGACTCCGATACCTGTGCGATAATTGACTTAAATCCCTTGAAACCCTATTTTTTCCCGCACCCCTGTGCGAAGACTGCGCTGATTACGGTAGGCTCTACCTCTATGCTCATGCCCGGAACACAAATAGTCAGATGTGTGCGTTGGTGGGGTCGAGAGAGAGAGAGAGCGGGGTGGCAAATCCGGCTCCTATTGTTCTTGGTTTTACGCACACAAACCAGTGACTCTCTCTCTCTCTCTCTTTCTCTCCCTCTTCTCAGAAACACGAGCCACACACGCGCGCGGGTACAGAGTGTAAGCCTCAACCTCTGACCGCGCCGATACAGCAGCAGCCGCTGTTGTTGGCCAGGAGTGCAATACCCCCAACCCACGAAGCATTCTTGTTTCTCCGCACACGGTAGAGAGAGAGAGAGAGAGAGAGAGAGAGAGAGAGAGAGAGAGAGAG